CCGCCATAGTGACAGTATTGGGCAGCGTCACTCATCTTGTGAGTGGACACACCGCCATAGTGACAGTATTGGGCAGCGCCACTCATCCTGTGAGTGGACACACCGCCATAGTGACAGTATTGGGCAGCGTCACTCATCCTGTGAGTGGACACACCGCCATAGTGACAGTATTGGGCAGCGTCACTCATCCTGTGAGTGGACACACCGCCATAGTGACAGTATTGGGCAGCGTCACTCATCCTGTGAGTGGACACACCGCCATAGTGACAGTATTGGGCAGCGTCACTCATCCTGTGAGTGGACACACCGCCATAGTGACAGTATTGGGCAGCGTCACTCATCCTGTGAGTGGACACACCGCCATAGTGACAGTATTGGGCAGCGTCACTCATCCTGTGAGTGGACACACCGCCATAGTGACAGTATTGGGCAGCGTCACTCATCCTGTGAGTGGACACACCGCCATAGTGACAATATTGGGCAGCGTCACTCATCCTGTGAGTGGACACACCGCCATAGTGACAGTATTGGGCAGCGTCACTCATCCTGTGAGTGGACACACCGCCATAGTGACAGTATTGGGCAGCGCCACTCATCCTGTGAGTGGACACACCGCCATAGTGACAGTATTGGGCAGCGTCACTCATCCTGTGAGTGGACACACCGCCATAGTGACAGTATTGGGCAGCGCCACTCATCTTGTGAGTGGACACACCGCCATAGTGACAGCATTGGGCAGCGCCACTCATCTTGTGAGTGGACACACCGCCATAGTGACAGTATTGGGCAGCGCCACTCATCTTGTGAGTGGACACACCGCCATAGTGACAGTATTGGGCAGCGTCACTCATCTTGTGAGTGGACACACCGCCATAGTGACAGTATTGGGCAGCGCCACTCATCCAGTGAGTGGACACACCGCCATAGTGACAGTATTGGGCAGCGTCACTCATCCTGTGAGTGGACGCACCGCCATAGTGACAGTATTGGGCAGCGCCACTCATCCTGTGAGTGGACGCACCGCCATAGTGACAGTATTGGGCAGCGCCACTCATCCTGTGAGTGGACACACCGCCATAGTGACAGTATTGGGCAGCGCCACTCATCCTGTGAGTGGACGCACCGCCATAGTGACAGTATTGGGCAGCGCCACTCATCTTGTGAGTGGACACACCGCCATAGTGACAGTATTGGGCAGCGCCACTCATCCTGTGAGTGGACACACCGCCATATTGACAGTATTGGGCAGCGCCACTCATCCTGTGAGTGGACACACCGCCATATTGACAGTATTGGGCAGCGCCACTCATCCTGTGAGTGGACACACCGCCATATTGACAGTATTGGGCAGCGTCACTCATCCTGTGAGTGGACACACCGCCATATTGACAGTATTGGGCAGCGTCACTCTTCCTGTGAGTGGACACACCGCCATATTGACAGTATTGGGCAGCGTCACTCATCCTGTGAGTGGACACACCGCCATAGTGACAGTATTGGGCAGCGTCACTCATCCTGTGAGTGGACACACCGCCATAGTGACAGTATTGGGCAGCGTCACTCATCCTGTGAGTGGACACACCGCCATAGTGACAGTATTGGGCAGCGTCACTCATCCTGTGAGTGGACACACCGCCATATTGACAGTATTGGGCAGCGTCACTCATCCTGTGAGTGGACACACCGCCATAGTGACAGTATTGGGCAGCGTCACTCATCCTGTGAGTGGACACACCGCCATAGTGACAGTATTGGGCAGCGTCACTCATCCTGTGAGTGGACACACCGCCATAGTGACCGTATTGGGCAGCGTCACTCATCCTGTGAGTGGACACACCGCCATAGTGACAGTATTGGGCAGCGTCACTCATCCTGTGAGTGGACACACCGCCATAGTGACAGTATTGGGCAGCGTCACTCATCCTGTGAGTGGACACACCGCCATAGTGACCGTATTGGGCAGCGTCACTCATCTTGTGAGTGGACACACCGCCATAGTGACAGTATTGGGCAGCGTCACTCATCCTGTGAGTGGACACACCGCCATAGTGACCGTATTGGGCAGCGTCACTCATCTTGTGAGTGGACACACCGCCATAGTGACAGTATTGGGCAGCGTCACTCATCCTGTGAGTGGACACACCGCCATAGTGACAGTATTGGGCAGCGTCACTCATCCTGTGAGTGGACACACCGCCATAGTGACAGTATTGGGCAGCGTCACTCATCCTGTGAGTGGACACACCGCGATAGTGACAGTATTGGGCAGCGTCACTCATCCTGTGAGTGGACACACCGCCATATTGACAGTATTGGGCAGCGTCACTCATCCTGTGAGTGGACACACCGCCATAGTGACAGTATTGGGCAGCGTCACTCATCCTGTGAGTGGACACACCGCCATAGTGACAGTATTGGGCAGCGTCACTCATCCTGTGAGTGGACACACCGCCATAGTGACCGTATTGGGCAGCGTCACTCATCTTGTGAGTGGACACACCGCCATAGTGACAGTATTGGGCAGCGTCACTCATCCTGTGAGTGGACACACCGCCATAGTGACCGTATTGGGCAGCGTCACTCATCTTGTGAGTGGACACACCGCCATAGTGACAGTATTGGGCAGCGTCACTCATCCTGTGAGTGGACACACCGCCATAGTGACAGTATTGGGCAGCGTCACTCATCCTGTGAGTGGACACACCGCCATAGTGACAGTATTGGGCAGCGCCACTCATCCCGTGAGTGGACACACCGCCATAGTGACAGTATTGGGCAGCGTCACTCATCCTGTGAGTGGACACACCGCCATAGTGACAGTATTGGGCAGCGTCACTCATCCTGTGAGTGGACACACCGCCATAGTGACAGTATTGGGCAGCGCCACTCATCTTGTGAGTGGACACACCGCCATAGTGACAGTATTGGGCAGCGCCACTCATCCTGTGAGTGGACACACCGCCATAGTAACAGTATTGGGCAGCGCCACTCATCCTGTGAGTGGACACACCGCCATAGTGACAGTATTGGGCAGCGCCACTCATCCTGTGAGTGGACACACCGCCATAGTGACAGTATTGGGCAGCGCCACTCATCCCGTGAGTGGACACACCGCCATAGTGACAGTATTGGGCAGCGCCACTCATCCCGTGAGTGGACACACCGCCATAGTGACAGTATTGGGCAGCACCACTTATCCTGTGAGTGGACGCACCGCCATAGTGACAGTATTGGGCAGCGCCACTCATCCCGTGAGTGGACACACCGCCATAGTGACAGTATTGGGCAGCGCCACTCATCCTGTGAGTGGACACACCGCCATAGTGACAGTATTGGGCAGCGCCACTCATCCCGTGAGTGGACACACCGCCATAGTGACAGTATTGGGCAGCGCCACTCATCCCGTGAGTGGACACACCGCCATAGTGACAGTATTGGGCAGCGCCACCCATCCTGTGAGTGGACACACCGCCATAGTGACAGTATTGGGCAGCGCCACTCATCCCGTGAGTGGACACACCGCCATAGTGACAGTATTGGGCAGCGCCACCCATCCTGTGAGTGGACACCCCGCCATAGTGACAGTATTGGACAGCGCCACTCATCTTGTGAGTGGACACACCGCCATAGCAGCATGTACAACACTCCCCAATAGGAAGAACATCCGCTGGGTTTTCTTTCATCCTGTCACTTGTACCCAGACACAGCTGGGACTTACTTAACTATCTCAAGTGAACAGCTCCTCAAACAAGAAGATTAACATCTATCAACCCTTAAATTCTTACGTTATCTTGCGGGTGCAAAATGGGGAAATCTTTTAAGAACAGTATCAGTGCAGCAACCCCAGACTATAAGTAGGGGAGTACAGTGTGTCAAAAAGCTAGCTACGTGATGCTAAAATCCCCATCACACAGGATGGTTAGTCATACAGAGTCATGTGATATGTAGTCTGCACTGGCAGACTACATATCACATGACTGCATTATGAGGATATCATCAAGAACACGACATCATGCTGCATTATGAGGATATCATCAAGAACACGATATCATGCTGCATTATGAGGATATCATCAAGAACACGAGAGTGAATAAAGTAATTGCAAAGCTCAAGGTACCTAACGCCAACGGGTCTGAATGGTCTGATAACTGGGCATTCGGTGATGTAGGTTGGCTGATCATGCCCCAGTTCCTGCTCACGCAGCACCTCGAAGCAGAGATAATCAATTGCTGATGAGACTCTGCCTCCCCGACCCCACTTACCCCGACGACCTCTGGACTCACCCGACGACCGCTGGACTCATCCCGATGTCCACAGGACTCACTCCGACGACCGCAAGACTCACCCGACGACCGTTGGACTCACCCGACGACCACAGGACGCACTCCGACGACTGCAAGACTCACCCGACGACCACAGGACTCACTCCGACGACCGCAGGACTCACCCCGACGACCGCAAGACTCACCCGACGACCGCAGGACTCACCACGACGACCGCAGGACTCACCCGACGACCGCAGGACTCACCACGACGACCGCAGGACTCACCCGACGACCGCAGGACTCACCCGACGACCGCAGGACTCACCCGACGACAGCAGGACTCACCCGACGACCGCAGGACTCACCCGACGACCATAGGACTCACTCCGACGACCGCAAGACTCACCCGACGACCGTTGGACTCACCCGACGACCACAGGACGCACTCCGACGACTGCAAGACTCACCCGACGACCACAGGACTCACTCCGACGACCGCAGGACTCACCCCGACGACCGCAAGACTCACCCGACGACCGTAGGACTCACCACGACGACCGCAGGACTCACCCGACGACCGCAGGACTCACCACGACGACCGCAGGACTCACCCGACGACCGCAGGACTCACCCGACGACCGCAGGACTCACCCGACGACAGCAGGACTCACCCGACGACCGCAGGACTCACCCGACGACCATAGGACTCACCCCGACGACCGCAAAACTCACCCGATGCCCGTTGGACTCACGCGACGACCACAGAACTCACCCGACGACCGTTGGACTCACTCGACGCCCGCAGGACTCATCCGACGACCGCAGGACTCACCCGACGACCACAGGACTCACCCGACGACCTCAGGACTCACCCCGACGACCACAGGACTTACCCGACGACCGCAAGACTCACCCGACGACCACAGGACTCACCTGACGACCGCTGGACTCTCCCGACGACCGCAGCAGGACTCACGCGACGACCTCAGGACTCACCCGACGACCGCAGGACTCACCCGACGACCGCAGGACTCATCCGACGACTACAGGACTCACCCGACGACCGCAGCAGGACTCACCTGACGACCGTAGGATTCACGCGACGACCGCAGAACTCACCCAACGACCACAGGACTCACCCGACGACCGCTGGGCTCACCCCGACGCCTGCTGGACTCATCTGACGACCGCAGGACTCACCCGACGACCGCTGGGCTCACCCCGACGCCCGTTGGACTCATCTGACGACCACAGGACTCACCCCGACGACCGCAGGACTCTCCTGACGACCGCAGGACTCACCCGACGACCGTTGGACTCACCCGACGACCACAGGACTCACCCCTACGCCCGTTGAACTCATCCGACGACCGCTGGACTCACCCGACGACTACAGGACTCATCCGACGACCACTGGACTCACCCGACGACCACAGGACTCATCTGACGACCGCTGGACTCACCCGACGCCCGTTGGACTCATCCGACGACCGCTGGACTCACCCGACGACCGCAGGACTCACCCGACGACCACAGGACTCACCCGACGACCACTGGACTCACCCAACGACCACAGAACTCACTCGACGACCTCAGGACTCACCCGACGACCGCTGGACTCATCCGACGACCACAGGACTCACCCAACGACCACAGAACTCACTCGACGACCTCAGGACTCACCCGACGACCACAGGACTCACCCGATCACCGCTTGACTCACCCGACGACCGTTGGACTCACCCGACGACCGCTGGACTCACCCGACGACCGCTGGACTCATCTGCCGACCGCTGGACTCATCCGACGACCACAGGACTCACCCGACGATCACAGGACTCACCCGACGACCACAGGACTCACCCGACGATCACAGGACTCACCCGACGACCACAGGACTCACCCGACGACCACAGGACTCACCCGACGACTGCTGGACTCACCCAACGACCGCAGGACTCACCCGACGACCGCAAGACTCACCCGACGACCACAGGACTCACCCGACGACCACAGGACTCACCCGACGACCACAGGACTCATCTGACGACCGTTAGGGGTAGTTTATTGTGAACCCTATACTCATCCGGTGAGCGGTAGTTTATTGTGCACCCTATACTCATCCTGTGAGCGGTAGTTTATTGTGAACCCTATGCTCATCCTGTGAGCGGTAGCGCACAAAAAGGACTACAAATGGCATTAAAGGACTACTGTAAAGGTCTTTATCAGACCTCAGCGGAGATTATCACATTAACAAATACATCTATTCTGCCAACCTTATCGTTATAATGTCAACTAGTTACAGAGAACGATATATTTCAAGAGCTTCATATTTACCGTAAGTCATTACACATCAATGGCATCATCTACCAAAACCTGTTATCAGATTTTCACTACAAAAAGAGTATTTCATCTACCCACCCTCACAATACTCCCATCCAACACGTACGAGAACATCAATACCTCGGCATGCACTTAGACTCCTTCTTACTTACATGGGAGGCACACATTCAACATCTTAAACAGACGACTCAACCCCGCCTCGCCATACTTAAAGCCCTCACTGTCACCATCTGGGGAGCACACCATAAAATCTTGCTCCGTTGCTATACAACCAACATTCGCAGCCAACTAGAAATTGAAACTGAAATTGAAATAAGTTTATTGAGGTAAAATACACACAAAGGGATGTGGTAGCTCAAAGGACTATTGTTGCCAAGCAGATGCGTCGGCTGCGCCTACTAACCTACAGAGCCTAGAGGTCATACAAAACAAGGCCATGCGACTTATATGTGGCGCAATGTGTTCCACTCCTATCCTCGGACTTTACGGGGAAACCGGGCCTCACAAGCCTAGCCACCAGACGAGACATAATGTGTGCCAACTATCTGTCACTCTGTACCACTGCTCATCAGACACGCTCATACAGATGAACAATTAGCCCAACAGTTAACCCACATAACCCCCGCTTCCCCAACAATCACTCGCAACCTCTCCTCACACGGGCTACAAGAAAGAACATAAGAACAAAGGAAACTGCAGAAGGCCTATTGGCCCATATTAGGCAGCTCTTATTTATAACCTCAATATAGACCTCTCTCTCTCTCTCTCTCTCTCTCTCTCTCTCTCTCTCTCTCTCTCTCTCTCTCTCTCTCTCTCTACTCCAAAACTCTGAAAACCAACTTCCTGTCTCCTCTATTCCACCTTGGCTTTATACAATTCCTAGTATATCTTCTTGAGGTTATCTTGAGATGATTTCGGGGCTTAGTGTCCCCGCGGCCCGGTCCTTGACCAGGCCTCCATCCCCAGGAAGCTGCATGTGATAGCTGACTGACTCCCAGGTACCTATTTACTGCTAGGTAACAGGGGCATCAGGGTGAAAGAAACTGCCCATTGTTTCTCCGCCGCCCGGGATCGAACACGGGACCACAGGATCACGCGTACAGTGTTCTGTCCGCTCAGCCACCAGCTCCACTACATCAATACAACTCGAAGACAACATTCCAAAGTCTGCACCAGACTCAGCCATAGCCGCAGTCTTTACCTCAACAATGAGAAATTGTTACCCAAATACCACAGCGATTTATTCAGCTGGGTCTCGCATCATCATGAACAACGTACCCTCGGTCACTAGCGTTGTATGGGTACCACAATACCATCTCCAGCAGGGATGGCGGTTACCAAACCAACTATCTATTGTCACAGCGGAATGATATGCCTTATATCAAGCCCTCCAAATAATCACAACATTACCAGTTGGGATATATACAATCTGCAGTGACTCCAAGAGTGCGATTCAAGCAATTACGTACTCTTGAAAAACGTGCAAGGAGATTGTCTACCCATGCCTTCAACTTCTTCACAAACATCAATTGAACGGTTATGACACCTCTATCCAATGGGTCCCAGCACATTGTGGTATTCTCCATAATGAACTAGTAGACCAACTAGCCAAAGCGATGCACGACACGCCTCACCTCACCCGTCATCCAATTCCCCATGTTGCACGTAAAGGAGCCTTCAAAGATACCATCTCCCAAGATTTTACAATAAACTGTTAAACGTCATGCTCACCTTTGTACTACGGGTCCATTAAAAAGAAATGGGAAACTTGGAAACATGTCAGATATAAAAGCAGAGAAATTGATGTAACGATGACCAGATTAAGGCTGGGAAACACCAAACTAGCAGCACACAGCTCTAAGTACAGAACAGACATCAGCGAACTCTGCATTCACTGTCAGGTGCCTGAAACAGTCGAACACTATCTCCTTCACTGCTGCCGACATCACAGTGCCAGAGTAAATTTCAAACAAGTCTTTATCGCACTTAAAATACCCTTTACCACGAGGATATATTAGGAGGCGGTGACCACTCGTTACAAGAAAAATACCAAATAGTCAAAGCACTGGCTAAATATCTGCAGTCAACCAACAAATTGGGTCACATCTGACCCGCGCCACATTTATACCTGGCGCCACCAACAGCTAAACACAGACAACAACTGCCTCGTCGCAGCACCAAGCATCAGCTGACGCCATAAACACAACACACCGCCCTACGGTGCGGCAAGTCTCCCTACAACACACACCTCTGTTTTAATTACCGTTCCTCTATCTACAGCACAACGCAACAAGCACTTTTGAAACTCCGATCATCCTCAACATTACTTGTGTAAAGGAGGAATGTATATATTTATCTCTCAGAATGTTCGGCAATATGTTTATTGTTTGTGATGTGTGTGTATGTATGTATTAACACGATGTACTGAACGGGGTGAGAATAGCTTGAGCTACCTCATCCCTTTGTGTGTATTTTACCTCAATAAACTTATTTCAATTTCAATTTCAATCCTCAACATAAAGGCGTCTCCCAACATCTGCACTAGTGCAGTCATCGAGAGGATAAACCCAAAATGAAGGGAAGAAGAGTCATAGAGCTACTGTTTATTATTAGTCTTCACAATACACTACTTGTTTCTTAATCTTATATGTCGGTTATCTACTGGAAGCGAAATATGGATACAGTGCAAGGATTTCAGGTAATTTATCCTTGGTAACAAGATAAGTTGCCTGATCATACGACGTGAGTTTAGACGTATCACTAAATGGCTCAATTTTACTTCAGTCCAAGATAACATACTCAAGTGTGTGTCCTTGTCTTCGCCCACACACTTTACACTTTACTTCATCTAGATTCCTATACAAGCCTAACTGCCAGAGATACTTGTAGCTAAGTCTTATTCCAGCTGTGACAACGTCTGTTAGTCTGCTGATTGTGTTACTTGCCCCATACACATGTTTTGTTTGACACACCTTACCTTGTATTGATTCCGGGGGTCACGGTCCCCGCGGCCCGGTCCCTGACCAGGTCTCCGGGTTGATGGTCTGGTCAACCAGCCCATCAACCAGAAGCACGACGACTACAAATCAAGCCCAGAGTAAGAGGGAAGAGGAGACGACCCATCCGGAACCGAATATCTCAACGAGAGGAAAGAAGAAATAGCCTAAGCGGCTCTATCCTCTTGAGACGTATCTTATTGACTCAAAAAATTTCTTTGGTCTACGTCCCCAAGCGACAGCGCCACCCATCACCACACAACAGGAGACTGTGCCACCCATCACCCACACAACAAGACCCCGCCACCCATCACCACACAACAAGACTCCGCCACCCATCACCACACAACAAGACCCCGCCACCCATCACCCACACAACAAGACCCCGCCACCCATCACCACACAACAAGACTCCGCCACCCATCACCACACAACAAGACCCCGCCACCCATCACCCACACAACAAGACCCCGCCACCCATCACCACACAACAAGACCCCGCCACCCATCACCACACACAAGACCCCGCCACCCATCACCACACAACAAGACCCCGCCACCCATCACCACACAGCAAGACTCCGCCACCCATCACCACACAACAAGACCCCGCCACCCATCACCACACAACAAGACCCCGCCACCCATCACCACACAACAAGACCCCGCCACCCATCACCACACAACAAGACCCCGCCACCCATCACCACACAACAAGACTCCGCCACCCATCACCACACAACAAGACCCCGCCACCCATCACCCACACAACAAGACCCCGCCACCCATCACCACACAACAAGACCCCACCACCCATCACCACACAACAAGACCCCGCCACCCATCACCACACAACAAGACTCCGCCACCCATCACCACACAACAAGACTCCGCCACCCATCACCACACAACAAGACCCCGCCACCCATCACCACACAACAAGACCCCACCACCCATCACCACACAACAAGACCCCGCCACCCATCACCACACAACAAGACCCCGCCACCCATCACCACACAACAAGACTCCGCCACCCATCACCACACAACAAGACCCCACCACCCATCACCACACAACAAGACCCCACCACCCATCACCACACAACAAGACCCCGCCACCCATCACCCACACAACAAGACCCCGCCACCCATCACCACACAACAAGACCCCGCCACCCATCACCACACAACAAGACTCCGCCACCCATCACCACACAACAAGACTCCGCCACCCATTACCACACAACAAGACCCCGCCACCCATCACCACACAACAAGACCCCACCACCCCCATCACCACACAACAAGACCCCGCCACCCATCACCACACAACAAGACCCCGCCACCTATCACCCACACAACAAGACTCCGCCACCCATCACCACACAACAAGACCCCACCACCCATCACCACACAACAAGACCCCACCACCCATCACCACACAACAAGACCCCGCCACCCATCACCCACACAACAAGACCCCGCCACCCATCACCACACAACAAGACCCCGCCACCCATCACCCACACAACAAGACTCCGCCACCCATCACCACACAACAAGACCCCACCACCCATCACCACACAACAAGACCCGCCACCCATCACCCCACAACAAGACTCCGCCACCCATCACCCCACAACAAGACCCCACCACCCATCACCCCACAACAAGACTCCGCCACCCATCACCCACACAACAAGACCCCGCCACCCATCACCACACAACAAGA